AAATGATGGGTTTTATGATGTGTGAGTTATACTGCAATAAACAAGTAAATTTTTTTTTACTTACTTAAAAAGTTTGATTCTTTGGGGTTTTACTTTTAAAGAATGTAGCACCGCAGCAGCAGCTTAGTCTAGGGCTAATTTTGTCCACTACTGAGGCAAAACCCTTCTGAGTACTTTAAGTGCTCCACTTCAAGTTGGTGGGAACACAAACTATGCCTAGCCCTAGTGGCGAGTGTTTACACTAATCTTTTCACGTGGTTCTTTCCCAAGCTTCAGGTAGCTCCCTCATGCACTGATCAGTAACCAGTTGAAGAGTCAAGAGCAACTCGCTATGTATCTCCAGAACTCACGCTCTGTACAGCTCTCTAATCTTCAGTATGCTGCTCTGAGAACTCTAGCCACCTTAGACTCCCTAATGTCCCAGTTCCACCTCCTCAACTCAGGGAAATCTGTGAGCTATTTATTGCATTGTGCCCTGGAAACTCTCTTCAGGCAGTAAGCTGGCACAATCATAGAGCTTACCTTGTTTGTTCACTATTTCTCAGTGATCACTCTCCTTTGTTGCTTGGTATTCAATCTCTTGAAAAAAAAACAGTTTCATATATTTTGTCTGTTTTTTTTTTTCCCAGTTGTTTCAGGCATCAGAGTAAATCCAGTCCCTGTTATTCCACCTTGACTGGAAGTAGAAGTCCCTTATTAACCTTATTAAGCTTTACAAAGAACTCACTTTTTGTTTGTTGACTCACTGTTGTATATGTAGTTTTCATGTCATTGACTTATATTTTATCTTCTTTTTTCTTTATTATTATTCTTTCTTTGAATCTATTCTTTCTCTACATGCTTAAGTCTTTAATATTCAATTTTTGCTGTATTCTAGTACATGCATTTAAGGTAAATACTTTTAATTATACTTTTTTAATATTACAGGCTTTGATGTTTCATATTTCTCATTTTCATCAGTTCAAAGTATGTTCTTATTTCCATTTTGATTCTTCTTTAATTCACAGGTTATTTAGAACCATATTACTTAACTTTCAATCTTCTGGGCATTGTTTATATTATCTTTTTGTTATTATTTCTACCTTAATTCCACTGTGGCTGGAAAATATACCCTGTATGATGTCAGCCTTCTGAAATTTGTTGAGACTTTATCATGTAGCATAAATCAGATCAATATAATTAATCTTGGTAAATGTTCCACATGCACTTAAGAAATGTATATTCTGCAACTGTTGGGTGCAACATTCTATATATATCAACTGGGTCTAATGTCCTAATTTTGTGGTTCAAATCTTCTTTATTTTTAGTGGGGATTTTTTGTTTGTTTTGATTTGGTTAGCTTGCTCTAGGAGTTTCAGAGAAAAATGTGTTAAAATCTACCAACATGACTGAGGATTTCTCCACTTAGTTCTGTCAGCTTTTAAGGCTATGTTATTAGGTGTATACAAATTTTGTGGTGTTATACTTTCTTAGTGAAATGACCTTTTTCATTAAAAAAAAAAAAAAAAGATTTTTAGTAATGAGTCTTGCCTTACATTTACAATGTATCTCTTATCAGTGACACATAATTGAATTTCATTTTTTCATCTGGACTGACAATCTTTATCTTTTAAGTTGAATATTTAGTACATTTACATTTAATATAATCACTAATATAATTACATTTAAATACTATTTTCTTTCCACTGGTCCCATCCCTTTTTTGTTCCTTTTTCCCCCTTCCTTTCTTGTCTACTTTTGGGTTAGCCAAGGATTTATTATTTTTCCTTATTAGTTGTATACTATTATTCTTTCAATAACCTAGAGGAGTGGTTCATAAGATGTGGAATTCAGACCAATAACATCAGCGGCATTCAATAACTTGTTAGAAATGAAAATTTTCAGAACCCACTCCAGATCTACTGACTCAGAAACTCTCTGGAGCCCAGCAATCTGGGTTTTAACATGCCTCCAGGTGATTCTGATATACACTGAAGTATTAAGAACCACTGACCATTGCCCTAGATATTACAACAGGCCCATGACTTAGTACTTTTACCACTTCCCATATAATGCAAAAGTCCTAACTGCATTTATTCCTCTTGCTTTGCACTAACACTGTCATGTATTTTACTTCTACATGTATTTTAGACCCACAAGGCATTTTATTATATAATGGTATTGTTATTATTGTTATAAACAACATTCATTTAGATTTATCACTATATATACCCTTTTAGTGATCTTTGTTCTTTTCCTTCATAGGATGATTTTTCTTCTGTCTGAGAAACTCCCTCTTTTTAATTTTTTAATGCTGGTGTGTTGGTAACATATTCTCTCAGATTTTGTCTTTGCAAAAACCTATTTTAACTGTCATTGTTTTACAGAAAATTTTGGTTGACGAATTCTAGATTTGGCAGGTTTTTGCTTTTAGCACTATAAAAATTTCATTCCAGTGTCTGGTTTTCATCATATCTATTCAGAAGCTCCTTTGACGTTGCCTGTTTTTATCCTCCAATTTTAAGTCTTTGTTTTTTTTCCTCTGACTTTGTTTTTTAGCAGTTTGATTTTGATTTGTCTGATGTGTTCTTCTTGTATTAATCCTTCTTGGGGTTCTCAGAACATCCTGAATCTGTGATATATTGTTTTTCATAAGTTTTAGAAAATTAAAATATTGTTTCTTCTTTCTTTTTTCCTCTCCTTCTGGAACCCTAACAACAAGTTTGTTTTATTCCTTTTTTCCCCCTAAGTCCCATTCATCTCTTGAACTTTTCTGAATTTTGCATCCTTTTTTCTTTCTGTACTTCAATCTGCATATTTTCTACTGACCTATCTTCCACATCACTAATTCTCTCCTCTGATGCATCTAATCTGCTATTAAATCCATCTCATGAATTCTTATTTTCAGTTATTATATTTGTCAGTTCTACAGTCTCCTCTTGAGTCTTCCATACAGATTCTAGTTCTCTGGTAAATTTTCTATAATTCATTTATATTCTTGAACATACTGTTCACAGTTATCTTAAAGTCTACAGTGACTAACTGTAGTATTGGATCTCTTATGGATCTGTTTATGTTGTCTGGTTCTTTGTTTTTATTTCTCTTGATACTTAATTATTTGGATCTCTTTCCTGACATGCCAGAAAAATTTTAACTGAATGCTACACTTTACATACAAAAATTACAGAGGCTCCAGATGATGTTATCTCCTCTAGAGAGGATTTAGTTTTCTTCTGCAAAAAGAAGAATATTAGCGTATCACCCTAATACCAGTTGAGGCTGGTGTACTTTGGTTTGGTTTACTTATAGAGCATAACCCTTCTGAGATATCAACTTGAAAGCCTGGTATGTTTCCCATGGTTCCCTTCCCCTACCCTGGAAAACCCTGAACTACAATTTCTGTCTCCCCTGCTCTGTGAGTCTACTGAATTCTGGCTGGCCAAAAATCTACTTGATTTGCCTGTGTCTGACCCAAACACGCACAGGTTAGAAGTCAGCACATGCCCTGAGTGAATACTGACTGCACAAATTTGAGCTCACTTCTGAGATTTCTCAGGACTTTGGCTCCTCAAGTCCTGGCTATTTGGTAACTCCAAACCATGGTTTTTGTCTCTGAGTTCAATGACTGCCTCAACCTGTTGGGTGCTGCTTTCTGTTTAGCCTCTATTCCCTGCACTGAGAATTGGGAAATGTCCCAAGGGAAATTTTGCAGAGCTTATCTCAATGTGTTTTCCCTTTTCTCTGGAGCTCTTGATCTCTGAAGTCTTGGCTGTCTTGTTTTCCAATGCCCTCACGTTATTTTTATTTGGGGGGAGGGGGGTATTTTATGCAGATTTTTAGTGTTCAGGGCAGAAGGGTTAATCTGAAACTAGTTGATCCATGTCTCTGGAAGCAGAAGTTCAGTAACTCTAGCTTTTTTAATGCCCACGTTCATTTGGTCATGAAGTCCTAGCATTATTATCTCCCAAGTGTTTCCTAATAACCAGCACTTACTATGTTTAGGCCCCCAGCATCTCTTAATTGAGCTACTACAAAAAGTAGTATTGGATATTTCTGATTCCAATTCATCTACTTCTCAAGTCTAGCTGGGTTATTAGGTATTATTTTAAAAAGTACAGATTCCTAGGCCTTATCCACAAAGGACAGAGTGTCTGATATGGCAGGCCTGCAATGGAATACTGAAATCCCACCACCACCAAACACACAGATAGACAGGTAAACAGACATACAGGCAGACACACCCAGCTCTCTAAGTGATTCTGATGGAATCATTCCGTGGATCAGTGTTTGGGAAGAATCATTACTGTATACCTAAGCTGCCAGTTTCCTTTCTAAATTGTAAATCTGATTGTCACTTTCCTGATTATATTCTGTCTTCTATGTGTTTATCCATTTTCCGTCTACCGAGGAACAGATCCTATTGTACTATATTAGTGCACTGGTGAATATATAGGTGTTTGTGTTTATGTGAGTGCACAAGAAAGTGGGAGAGCAAGAGACAGAGATAAAGCAAGTGTAAGTGAAAGCCAGACCAAGGACAAACGGGTGAAAGCTAGAGGGAGAGGGCAAGAGCAAGAATGAGAGTACGAGGTTGAGTGTTAGAGGTGTTATGATTTCAAGGTGCTCATGGCCTAGGAGGAGAGGAAATAGATGTTCAGAACTGAGTTAATTCATGAACTTCCAAGAGTCTTTTTAGGGTTTTGAGATATGAGATTAAGAAATCATCTTGTAAAGAAGAGACATTTGTATCCCACTAGGCATCTAATGAACTGGCAGAGTCAAGAATTTAAATAAGCATAGAATTTCTCAACATGTAGTTTCTGATTTCTCCTAGGAATTTTCTTCTAACATGTATATACCTCAAAACATTATGGACTCGGCTTTCAAACTATCATGTATTAGGCAGAAAAATGTATACCATCATTAAACTCAACCATATATAGAACTCTATTGTTGTTATAAAGGAAAATTAAATGTATTACTCAATGACATTTTCAAAAGCATTTAAAAAATGAAATTACTTTGTTAGTCACAGTGTTGATTGCCAGAGTTGGAGAGGCACTTCCCGAAATAATACACTCCATTCCCAAAGCATCTGAATCTATGCTATATGGAGTTGAGGCCTAAAATACAAGAACAAAATAAATAATTATTAGCTTATATATCCAGCAACTTTAACACAGTTTGAAGGGATTTTATCAAATTCTTCAACATCCAGTTCTGTGCTTTGTTCCTGAAAATGAACTTAAATGGCTACTGAAATCTCTTCTATTATATTTTAATATGCTGTTGACCTGATATTACAGAGTCCATAGGTATGGCTACACTGTAACACTTAACTGGCTGTGAGATAAGGTGACAAAAACTGCAGATACACTTCTGTAGTGGAGTCTACTAATGGTCCCCTAATATTCATTCTCCTCTCCATTTTAGATACAGAACCCTGTAGCTATTGACTCATAGCCACCCAGCTAAAGACTACCTTTTTCAAACTCATTTGTGCTAGTTATAGTCATGTGACTAAGATGTGGCAAACAGAATGTGAGCAAGAGTGAGGTGTGCAACTTTTGGGTCATGCCTTTGAAAGGAACGTGCTTGCCCTCCATTCTCTCTTTCCCACTTCTTACAGGCTGGAACACAGATATGGTGGTAGTGATCTCACTTAACTGAGCTCTGGGTAATACCCAGAAAAACAAGATTAGAAACCTAGACATGTGAATAACCTTGCGAAACAGAGCTATTTACCCCTATGACATAACTATCAGCTTGGGCTTTTACCTAAGAAAGAAAGAAATCTTTATGGTTTAAACCTCTCAGTTGTGGTTTTTTGTTTTTCCTTTGTAAGAACAACCAACCATTGTCCTGACTAATAAAACGTCATATGCAATTGTTTATATAAACATGGGTGTTAAAAACAATATAGAAGGTTTTCTGCATTTCGGATCTTTGATATAGATTGTGCCAACAAAGCTCCCTCTCCCAAGAGACATTTTGTATTTCTTTAGTGTGCCCTCAAGAAAATTAATCTTTGATCCTGAAAATTAAAGGGGAGATATAAATAATTTGTGGCTATGATGCTCACTGGCAAAAAATATTTGTTCCACATACCAACCCACCTGAACATGAGTATTTAAAAGATCGTATTGGATGAACCCTGGTAGCACTGAAAGGTCGACAGTTTGAACCCCCCAGTTGCTCCGCAAGAGAAAGATGTGGCAGTCTGATTCCGTAAGGATTTACAGCCTTGGAAACCCTGTGCAGCAGTTCTACTCTGTCCTATAGGGTCGCTATGAGTTGAAATCAACTCAACGGCAACGGGTTTGGTTGCTTTTTTTTTTTTTTAATTGGATAAGCAAGATAGCAATTTCACTGAAACAAATTTCTGAGATTAATTTATTGATCACTTATCCTTAGCACGAATTTCTTTCATCAGATAATCTAATCAACATGCAGGTAGGGAACAGACATCTTGATGAACTGCAAAAAAGGAAAAGACCAGGGCTACCCCTGCAAGCTATAATGCAGCCCTTAGGTGATGGGTACACATTGAGGGTGAGGCAAAAATGAAAAATAGTTCATGATTATTTATAAACTCCAAAGACAACTTTGTATAAGTTGCATTTTTGATGCCAGCCAATAAGCTACACCTAAGTTAACAGAGAGGATTACTTTAGGAAGCTGTAAATCTCATGGTCCTCTAACTCAAGTCTTCCCAGTCCAGACCAGTGGTTCACTATTTAATTCTCACTCTTTCCTACTATTAAGAGAGGGAAGGTTGTGTTGTGTGATTTCATACAAGTTACTCAACCTTTAGGCTTGTTTTCACATTTATAAAAAGATTATGACATTTCCTTTTTGTTAAGACCATTAATGAAATAATTCATGTAAAGCACAAAGCATGGTACCTGACATGCATAATAAATGCTAGCTGCTATGATGACTGCTAGAACATACCTACTATTAATGTTGAGGATCTACTGACTAAGAATACTCAATCGTAATTAATGAGAAAGGAGACAGCCTTGGTACAATGCACTGTATCCTAACATGACCAGACAAATAGATTCAGCTATTATAAATTTGATAGAAAATTTTTTAAAAATCTTTAAATTAGATATTTTTTCATAGATGCTTCAGTTTGGTTCCATCAAGAGTAAAAGACATTCTCTTCACATGCTTTGATACATTCAATGGTATATCTTTTTCTGGGACACTGATTCTGTTAATAGCAGATAATAAGTAGTCTGATTAGTAAAGCCAATGGTCTAGGCATCCCATAGTGTATGTGGATAATTGTTAATATTGCAGCAATAACCCAAATCCTGGGCAAAGTATCAATGAATCTAATTTGGGTGGCACTAGTCAGCCTTGTGAAAGGTCCTTTCTGGAGTTACCTCTTTTCCTCTGTCATTGTCCTACCCATTCAAGTTCCACTTCCAGTATGGCAGTGTAATACCTCTACAGACCAACCTTCCACTGATAACTACAAATTGTGGTGGAAAACAAAAACAAAAAGCAACTGAGGATTCTGAAGAGTAAACAGAACACATAGATTATAGCGAGAAATCAAAACTTAGCGAGACCAGCATGGTGGTGAATTTCCTGTTTTGTTGCAGCTTTACCCTAACAATATGCAGTAGATACGGAGTGTAGACAGCCTAAGCAGATAGAAACCTCACTGTCAGGACTGAACCAAGGAGAAGAGCCAGTCACCAGAGACAGACAAGAGAATCCCATAGAGGAGAGCAGAGAGCTGAAGGGGATCCTCTAATTCTGTTATGAAACACCATAAAAGTCTCAGGCTAACCCCTGAACCACGCATGGGCAGATATGAAAAAAAGGTTCAAAGAACTGAATTAATATTGGAACCACCACCCATAAAAGAAAAAACATAATTGACAGTTTGCATCTTAGAGCTAAAACAAAAACATCAACATTCTACAGAGGACTGTAACAGAACCTAGGGTCTATCTAACATAACAGTCACAATGTCCAAGATACAAACCAAAATTACCTGACATATTAATAACAAAAAAATGTAGCCTATTTTCAAGAGAAAAGGCAATCGACAAATGCTTCCCCCAAGAAGACTGAGATGTTGGAATTATATGGCAAAGACTTTATAGTAGCTATTTTAATTATGCTCACCAAAATAAAGTAAAAACCACTTGAATGAAAATATAATAAGAAAAATCTCTCAGTGGAGAAATAAAAAATATTTTAAAAGAACAAAATCGAAATTTTAGAACTGAAAAAGTTTTAATGGACGGGCTTAATATTAAACTGGAGATGAAAGAGGAAAAGAATCAGTGACCTCAAAAATGATCAACAGAAATGATTCAATTTGAAAAACAAACGAAAAAAGAACAGAACCTCAGAGATTTGTGGGACAATCTCACAAGGTCTAACGTGTACTTGGAGTTACAGAAGAAGAAGAAAAAGAGAGAAAAGGGCAGAAAAAATGTGTGAAGAAATGATGACTGAAAATTTTGGAATTTTGGTGAAAGACAAATTTACAGATTCAAGAAGCTCAGTGAACCTCAAGAAGGAAAAATTCAAATGCTAACGGAAGTTTTTTAGGCTGAAGGGAAATTATAGCAGAAGGAAACTTGGACCTTGAGGAACGAATTAAGGCATCAGACATGGTAAACATCTGGGTAAATGTAAAAGACTACTGTTTTCCCTTAGGTTTTAAAAATTACATATGATTATTTAAGGCAAAAGTTAAAACATGGTCTTGTGCAATTTTCAATGTATGTGGAGAACTATGGGGAATGGTGGAGTGGGGGCAAAGGGGTCTATAAGATTTCTACGTTTTATAGTAAGTGATATAATACTAACTCAAGAGTAGGCTGCAAAAAGGGAGCTGTATATTGAAACTGCTAGAGCAAACACAAAAACAAAATATAAAGAGGTATAGGTAAAAAGCCAACAGATAAATTGAAATGGAATACTAAAATATATCCAAATAATCCAAAAGAAGGCAGGGAAGGGGTAAGAGAGGAAATAAAACAACAGAGATCAAACAGAAAATAAACATAGACCTAAAACCTAACCACATCAATAATTACATTAAATGTTAACAGTTTAAACATACCAGTTAAAAAGCAGAGATTGTCAAGAGGCTAAAAAAGCAAGACTCAGCTAAATGCTGCCATACAAGAGCCACAACTTTAATTATAAAGTCACCCGTAAGTTCAAAGTAATAGATGGAAAAATATATACAATTATGCACTTATGCAAACAGTAGCATAAGAAGGCTGGAGAGGCCATGCTGATATCAGATAAAATAGCCTTTAAGATACAGAGTATACCAGATATAAAAAAAAAAAAATCATTGGATAAAGACAAAGGAATAATTGATGATGAAGATGTAACAATTAAAAACATAAATGTGTCTAATAACACAGCTTCAAAATACATGAAGCAAAAACCCAAAGAGTTAAAAATCATTAAAGGCATAAAGATTGGAATAATATTAAAAATGTCTTAACCTAACTGGTATTACAGAACATAGTACCAAACAACTGTAGTACACACATTCTTTTCAAGTGTACATGGTATATGCACCAAGATATAGCACATGCTGAGCCACAAGTCTCAATAAATGTTAAAAAAAACTAAAATGATACACAGTATGCTCTCTGACTATACAAAGAAATTAAATTATAAATCAATAATAATAAGACATCTAAGAAAATCCCAAATGTTTCAAAATTAAACATACATTTCTAAATTAACTGGCCAGAAAAGACTCAAGAGAATTTTTTAAATTTTTTATATTATTTATTTTTAAATAAGTGATAACAAAAATACAATATATCAAAATTTGTGAGATGTATTTAAAGCAGTACTTAGAAGTAAATGTACAGCTTTAAAATCTTATATTACAAAAGAGGAAAAGTCTCAAATCAATGATCTAAGCTGGAACCTTAAGAAAATGGAAAAAATCTGTAAGCAGAAGAAATGAAAAAGGTATAAGGAGAAATAAAACACACACATACAATAGAAAAAAAATTAACCAAGCCAAAAGCTGGCTCCTTGAAAAGATTAACAAAATTGACAAACTCCTAACTATACTAATGAAGGAAAAAGAGAAAATGTGGTATCAGGAATGAAAGAG